TCTGTCTAGGTTAGGCCCTTGGTAGCCCAATTAATTAGCCTAGGTTAAGACCGGTTTGTAGTCCTAGTATTTGTAATTATACTCACTACAGTGCTGTACTAGGATTTCTACTACGTTTTCTACGACATTCAAGCAATGGTTTGAGTTGTCTAAATAATTATTTTCATAATTACGTTCATTCATAAACAATTTTGAAACACGCTGTTTCTGTTCGAAACTGCTTGGCTCAAAAACTACTAAACTACTTTTCAGCAGTTCGGTCCTCGAGGTCACGTGACCAGGTTCATTTACGATGTCGCAACAAAACAAACTTGCTGTTCGACGTCTGGTTCCCAGTGGCTTGTACCGTTATAGAGAGAATGATACAGCTATAATTTTAGAATAAAAACTTGTGAAATTCATTTATGCTATAAAAATACAAGTTTTCTTGAAGTTGAAGTAATAATTATTTTACTGGAATTTAATTGTAGAAAGGCATACGTCATCTGCACATGCGTAAACTTTGTATCACACGATATTTCTTCAGTTCTGTTTTTGCTTATAAAACATGGTGCGTGATGGTGCATGCTTCGCACAGTGACTCAGTGGGCTGTGAGTAGTAATGACTTAGGCCTAGAGGTACCAATATTTTTAGCTTAATACCGACTTATTAGTCACCATAATGATAGAATGATTGTTTAAAATAGATAATACTAAATAATTATTTTATTTTATTGGATTTTATTATACTTAAACTAAACTGATGTTGAAAATTTAACGTAGCATGACCGTCTAGCAAGAAATGGGGATTTCCCTAGAGCAGGGATGTCACCACGCTGATTGGCGGTGGACGGGCCCGTCCAGCACTCAACATTTCCGACCAGGATTTACAGGCTCCCGACCACCACTATTATTTCAACAGTTTACAAATTGTAACAAAATAATTAGTTTCCCTAGACACAATAGGCAAGCTAAATTGATAAAGACAAGAAGAATACAACAAATGTTTCATTGGTTACGTTAATTGTAACAAAATACTGCACTGCCCTGCTATTCATCGCTAACAGCCTAGGCCTAGGCCCAGTTGAGTCATAGCGAACGTCGTCGTCTGGCATGACATTCAAAGGTTAAAGTTGAAATCGTGACCATTCAAGTGTTTTATTATGAGAGCATGGTCCAGGGCAGGAAGATTATTAAAAATTTACGGAACCTGATTTAAGTTTTATTTCTTTACTTTGTTTTCATTTTGTATTTTAAGTTTTTCACTTTTAATTATAATTGATATATAATGTGTGTAAATGGACAAAAAATAAATAAATGAGTGCACATGAATCAGTGACATGCACGTGAAAATGTGGAATGGTCGCCGACCGTCACTCCAAAAAGCTGGTGACATCCCTGCTAGAGCAAGAATATGTTGTTTCATTGCGGTAGGCAGAAGTTTACACGCATTTCCAGTTGTTTGTTGTTTAATAATCGGCCGAAAAAGATGAAATTTCTTCATGTGAACATTTGTAAATAATGTCGTGTTTCAAAATAATTAAAAACTTAAAATTATGGGAACGGTTTGGAGCTTAAAAATAGATGCAGCTTATACACAGATGACACAAAAAATCGTGAATTTCGCATCCTAATTGGGGGGGGGGCTTAAACGCAGGTGCGGCTTATACTCCATACGGTATATACAGACACTTTAATGAGAATTAAAACAATATTTTGTTGAATGGGATAATGCTAGTGATTAAAATGATTTGGTTTTTATTGAAGGTAAATTTAGTTAGGGCCTAGTAGTCTACTATTATTGCGATAGACCACCTGCAGCACTGTCGGTTGGTTCATACTGGTCACCTATATATATCAATGGCAGAGGATAGCTAGGCTAGGTAGTGGAAACTCTGACACCTGATCTACAGTAGTTTACGAATTTGTCAGTTTTTTTACCAATACCCCTTGGTACTAGAGGTTCGTGAAATACAGTAGACGTTTTATGAAACAAGCCTTTCCACTGTGTGACGTCGACGGCGTCAAAGCTGGCTGGCTGTTTATGTGGCTCTAACTTGGCATTGAACGTAACTTCGACATGAACCAGGCTATAAAGATTAACAATCAATCTCCTTAGTTCTGCACACAGATTGGCTATCACTATTTAGCAATGATACTCGCATTCTACAAATCTACACAAAATTGTACAAAAAAGTTGTTAAATCCTGGGATCTTAGCGAGCAAGTTGTGCAGTATTTGGTAATTTATAATTGAGTTGATAGCCTGTAGATAAGCAATTGCCCCTGAAATTAGTGAAAACTTTCTATGTGTTGCAACACTATGGTTACACAGTATAGCATGTCTGTGTAGAGATATTGTATACATTATCAGTCATCAAAAGTAAGATACATGTAAGCCTATAATGCTTATTAAAGTGCTTTGTAAATTTAATTAAGCAAGTTGAGGTCATTGCCAATGCTTCAGTGATTAATGATAGAAAAAATATTACATGATACACTACATATTTTTTATCCTACAGTGTTTACTGTATCTTATACTCTTACCGTATCACCTAAAGAAATTTAAAAAAATTGAAATTTGACCACTATAATTCATTTTTAAGCTAATTCTGACACCACTAATCAATTCCTTGGCCTCAAAAACATATATAAACACTAAATATTACCAAAATATGACTTCATATAAAAAATGTCATGACCTTTTTCCCCCCATTCTGCTTCTTCATTTAAGACCAGTACATTTGGTATTTGAAATACAGTAGAAACCCTCATTTTACGAACATAAAATAAAGGTGATGACGTGATAAAAATTTAAGCGAAAGATTAAAAAAAAAAAAAAATCCGCTCGAATTGTAACTGTTATTAGCATGCATACAACACAACACACCATACTATACAGTACTATGTAATTCTCTAGTGAAAGAGGCCCTCAAATGGGCCTCTTCAAAGTCAGTGTTTTTTATGGCTTCACACATGTGCAAGCGACAAATTTTACTTCTCTTTCAAACATCGTTTTCAGCTTTAAAATTCAACATACTGCTTGATTGTTTTATCGAATGATCAATATATATAATAAACAAGTATCTATGGAAGTTGTGTTGGAGTAAAATCCACAATCTATGTATTTAAGAAGGTAAAAATGTCCGATAAAAACAAATTTGTGTAGGGCCTAGAGTGGGATCGAAATGCTTAGAAGCTGATACTGTAGGCCTGGCCTAGGCCTAGTTTATGCCAGTGTAAGTAGTACCAGTGCAAATATATAGGAATTTGGGTCAAACCCCGATTTTACGAATACCCGCATTTACGAACGGCTCTGGGCCTGTGCCGTACGTAAATGAGGGGTTCTACTGTATCACCCTTTTATAGCCCACCACTAATAATAAGCAATTATGTTTATAGTGTACTATATAACTGCTGCTGCTGCTGCTACTGCTACTTTTAACTAGTGTTTTACCTGCTACTTCTACTACTGGGTTACTACTATTATATTTACTACTGCTACAAATACTACCACTACCAATCTATATCACCACATCTATCTACCCAACTCTCAGTGTCCATAAAATTATGAACATATAAAATGATTGTGTTTGTTAGGTGTCCACAATGGAAGCCCACTTCATGCCAGCCATTGACAATTTGCTTGAAGTTGTATCAAAACTTGTTAGTCACCTGACTATGCAAAAACACCTGATCTCACTGCTGGACAAAGTTGTGAAACCTGTAGCTGCTTTCTATGATGTGTCATTAAGGTAAGATACAGAAAAAGTATAACTTTTTTCAATGTATCTTTGAAGAGTTAAATATTCATGTCTATTTTAATACATAATTTTATCTATTTTTCTTCAGAAAATTTGTACCCAACCCGTCACATGTATCAACCTTAGATGAAAAACTTAAAAAGTTATTGGCTGACCTTTTGACCATCGTGCAAAATAGGATCAAGGGTCCGTATGATAACAAACTACTCATGATTTTGTCACCGATTTTAGAAAAGACTATCAGTCATCCAAAAGGCAGCTTTAAAAGCCAATCTGTTCTCTTCTGGAACGCTACATTTGGGAAGGCAAAACAACTTGACTATCCAGATTCAATAAAGTAAGATATTTGCTTATTTATATCTGATAGTTAATAGGGCATCACTATAATTGGTATATGTAACCTGAATTTTACTTGATAATAAAAGGTGGGAAATGTCTTATGTATGTAGCACATAATGCAAAGTCATTTATCTTGGATTAATACTTCAATTAAATTGTTACATGTACTAGATATCCAAAATTGTTAAATGCATTGAGGTTGTTTTCAGCATGTGGAAGTGGTTTGGCGCAGCGGGAACAGTTTGCTTTCCCAAGCTCGAGGTGGGGGCTTCAATCCCTCTCTGTGCATTTCGCTTGTGTCCCTGAGCAATGCACTTTATCTGCATTGCTTCTCTCCACCCAGGAAGTTCGAGTACAAAATGCGCTTATATATATTTCATGCAGCAAACTATGGAATTCCCCCATAGGCATCGTTCCAATGACTGGGGTAAAAATGTGGAAAAGCACTCTCAGACTATATAAAAACCTGCATATTATTATTATAAGATTGTAAGTCAATTTTATTTTATACAGTTATTACTTATTATTATTATTATTATTATTATTATTATTATTATTATTATTGCTTTAATATTGACAAAATTACCAATTCTTAATCTATGCTAGGCCTGTGTTGAATAAGGTAAAGAAAGAAACACCACTGTTACTACCAAGCTGGTCAGATACACACTTTGATGTTGTTGAAGAAACTCCCATCAGTCAACTAACTGAGGTGGGTAATTTTAATTCTGAACTTCATTTCAATTTTGATTTCTTAGTGTTTAGAGACGATTTTGTATTATGCGCTTTATAAGAATATCGCCATTACCATGAAGTCAACCCAATTTAAGTTAGTATATTGATTGTATAATAAAAGTAATTTAATACTAGCAACAATGTGATAATTTTATGCCAGAATGTAAATCTATTTATATAATAGATGGAAAGCAATACACAGAGTTTTGTGGAACCAGCACCAATTGTCCGACCGTTTGGATCTCCATCACCGCATAAGATGCATGGAAGCTTTTTGCGACGGCCAACAGAAACTGAAAAACTTGTAAATTTATCATCACCCAGACGTAAATCTCCTGCACATTTTGGATCACCATCGCCCAAAACCTTGTCTGCCACTAAAGGAACATGTAGACGTCTTAACATTGACGAGGATAGTAAATCTGTCTCTTATACACATCTAGATGTGTATAAGAGACAGATAGACCACCTGCAGCACTGTCGGTTGGTTCATACTGGTCACCTATATATATCAATGGCAGAGGATAGCTAGGCTAGGTAGTGGAAACTCTGACACCTGATCTACAGTAGTTTACGAATTTGTCAGTTTTTTTACCAATACCCCTTGGTACTAGAGGTTCGTGAAATACAGTAGACGTTTTATGAAACAAGCCTTTCCACTGTGTGACGTCGACGGCGTCAAAGCTGGCTGGCTGTTTATGTGGCTCTAACTTGGCATTGAACGTAACTTCGACATGAACCAGGCTATAAAGATTAACAATCAATCTCCTTAGTTCTGCACACAGATCTAGGCCTAGTCATTATTCTTCCGAGTTTTCCCGAGATTTCTCATGGTTTGAAAGTGCATGTGTGAAACGAACCAAAAATCTCGGAATATCAAACTTGTTACAACTTATTAATAGTTGTTAAAAGTTGTAATATTTTCTGCTAGTGTGAAATGGGTATGAGAATATCGCCATTACTATAAAGTCAACCCAATTTAAGTTAGTATATTGATTGTATAATAATAGTAATTTAATACTAGCAACAATGTGATAATTTTATGCCAGAATGTAAATCTATTTGTATTATAGATGGAAAGCAATACACAGAGTTTTGTGGAACCAGCACCAATTGTCCGACCGTTTGGATCTCCATCACCGCATAAGATGCATGGAAGCTTTTTGCGACGACCAACAGAAACTGAAAAACTTGTAAATTTATCATCACCCAGACGTAAATCTCCTGCACATTTTGGATCACCATCGCCCAAAACCTTGTCTGCCACTAAAGGAACATGTAGACGTCTTAACATTGACGAGGATAGTAAATTGGTAAGTAATATACATAAATTGTAAATGGAGAACATTTAAGCAGTTAGATCATATTGCATTTAATTCACTAGTACTGAAAGACCAAGGTGTTAAAGGCGCTATGCATGTTCTATGTAAGACTATTTGTCTTTTTTTTTATTATTTTAAGACATTTGTTAAAATCGCTGCTTCTCCAAAGAAAAAACTAATATTGACAGAACACCAGAAAGAAGTGATGAGAGAAAGAGGCGTGGTACCAACTATGTACAATGATTTAGACCAATCTCAGGACACTCAACTATTTTCAAATATGTTCAGCCAAACTCAAGATAACTCTATGAATACATGGTATGGTTGTTTTCTTTAATTGGTTTTTTTCCTTTAATTGGTTTTTTTTTTTTTTTTTTTTCTGTATATTTATTTTCCTTTAAACATGCGTATATTTGTGTTTAATGATTGGAAACTCTTCTTCATAGCATCAACTATATTGTAGAGAAAGAATCAATTAAATGTGATGGTCCAAAGAATGGAAGTTCCTCACCAACCAGCAAAGTCTGTGATGCTGACCATCTAACAACTCGATATACTGATTGTCCTTTACTGGAAGAAGCTGTTGGACCTGATTTCTTTTGGAGAAATACAGGCATGAATGGTGTTACCAAAGATGAAGAACACAGAAAGAAAAAACTTAGTTTTGCAGATGCAATTGATGCATCTGCATCTTTACATAATGGAGAATCTGCCAGTAATTGCACAATAGCTGATAAAACAGAAGTAAATACATCGGCTAAGAAACATAATAAAAATTGTGCACCTTCAGAAAGCAACCAGGACAAAACAGAAAATACTTGTACAAATATAGTACGAAGTACAATCTCTGAGGTTGTAGATTCAGAAATCAATAGTGAATTATGTGCAGGTGTAGAAGATAAAAAATTAAAAAAAGAATCAAGCAGTACTAATGTAGAGGAATTCAACATTGCGCCAATTGTGTCTATTGCAGAGACACAGGACAGTTTAATCATCACACAGGACACTGCCCCAATTACTGTCCAATTTAGTCACCTAACCCCAGAGAAAAAATCTTCTAGTCAGGATTCAATTAAAGAATCTCCAGTCATCAAAAAGCTTATATCCACACCCGTTTTAAAACTTATGCGCCTGACTGAAGAAAATGTAGAAAGATTGAGCCCTCAAAATTCTAAAGCATTTAGATCTCTAGATATCACCAGTAGTCCCAATGTTTATGGAAGTCAACCAGAAAAAGAATTAAAGAAGCAATCATTACAAAGATCAAAATCAGAAGACACTATACGCCATAGTCCTTGTAAAGTGCAGAGATCAGCAAGTATAGGTGACGGTGAGAAAGACATCCGTAATCGATTGAATTGTACTCAGGATGACCTTGCGAGATTAGCTGAGAAATTTGAATTTGATGATATTAGACCATTGAATGATGACTCGGAAAATGAAGAAGGTGGTGAACTAAATGCTTCTCAAATATCTTCACAGAACACAAATACTAAAGAAACTGTTAAGGCAAAGAAATCCAAAAGGACATCTAATAAAGTGAAGAATGACACTCCAGTGAAAAGAAGTGCAAGAAATTTAAAAAATAAAATTAAATCTTTGGAGCCCATTGATGAAAATGAAGTAAAATCACTTGACTCACAAGAACCTCAGAGACAAAAGACAGGAGATAATATACTGTCTGCTAAATGCGATGAGAATGAACCTATCAAAAATAAAGGAAAAAGAGGAAGGAAAAGGAAAAATGAAAACAATGACAGCCATGCATTAATCGATGCTGAATCTGAGGAACATAATGGAGAGAGTAAAAATGATAACAGCCTGATCCAAACAGATAAAAGAGAAAGCAAAAGAAGGAAAAAGTTTGGTGGTTCTGAAAAATCTGTAGCAGAGGAAACAGATTCGAGTACACCTACCAATCACAATATTGCTGAAAAATCATTTGTTGGTGAGCTTGATGTGGACAATATTTCATTTAACTCTTGTGAAGATATGTTTGAAGGAATGGGTGGAACACAAGATATAGGCATTAATCAAAAACATGTCACTGAAGAAGTCAAAACAGATGCCAAGCCTGTAGCTAAAAAGACAAAAGTAATAAAAACATATGGAAAGCAGAAATTTGTTGAAATTGATGTTGCTCAGAAAGATTTTGACATTAATTCTGACAAACAATTAGGATTTGAAAGTGAGGATGATTTAACACTTGCTGAAATAAAGGAATGTTATTTGGATGGGAATAGCCAGGATTCAACTGATGATGAGATAACCTTCATGACTAAAGTTAAAAAGACTAAAGGTGGTACAGGAAAAGAGAGGTTGTCCCAGAATCCTGATAATCATTCTAAGGAACCAGATGGAAGTGAATCTGAAGATGAACTACCTTTATCACAGCTTAAAGAAAATACAAAACAAACACAAGATAAAAAATTGTCAATGTTGAAATCATCTTTTGCCAAAAAAAAAAGCCCAGAATCAGTTTTCTCCAAGAAAGCTTTACAGCGTGCAATAAAGTCTCCAGCTAAAAGAACTCAATTGAAATCTACTCCTGGAAAAACATCTAAACCTGGAAGGCCTATAGTTTTCCCACGCCGTTTGCGATCAGAAACGGTTCCAGTAGCCTCCAGATTGCGATCTAAATCTGGAGAATCAATCAAGAGTCGTAGAATTACACCAGTGAAGCGGAGATGTTCCACTCCTAAATTTTCTTCAAAGACAAAGCCGTCATTTTTTGAAGGCATGTCGAGTGAACCACTAAATTCTCAAGAGTACAAAATGTTTAACATGGAGGATTCAAGTTTTAAAAATGATGAGAAAACTTTAGGAGTTATCAGTGAGTGCCGTGAAGAAATTGTGCCAAAGGACACTGCAAACTATGTGGAAAAAGAGAAAGTATCTGAAGTGGATATTAAACTCTCTGACGATACAGACACTATGGCTCTAAAAGAGAACATTTCAGGCAATTTTGATAGTTTGAAACAAAAGTGTGAAGATATTGACTTAGTTGGTGATAAAGAAATTAATGAAGAGAGAAAAACCAAGACGCCAGAAAATGTTTTTCCACCACATATCTCGGAAAAAATTGATGAAAACAATGATATTACAAAAAATAGCAAGACAGAACAGATAGAAGAGATAATTATCAAGAAGCAAATTGACATAGAAAAGGAGCAGACAAGCAAGGTCATTGGTCAAAAACAAAGGAAAGGAGTTTTAGAAAATGAACTCATTGAAGCAGTAGTTGAAAAGGCAAAAGATGATGTGAAAGAGTTCAAAACAGGCACCATTTCTGTTGAGAAAGAATTTACCAGTTCAAATCAGACATCGGCTGTTGATGCCACTGCCTCTGATGATGTTAGGAGTCAGGATGATGATATGGCAGCAAATGATGATCTTAAAAGAATTTTTGAAGATGCAGATGATCCTGAGGATATCATACACAGCAGTCAAAGTCCTACCAAATCAGAAGTGTCTGAGAAAGCATCTCGTATTGACATCTTGAAACAAAGACTGTCTGAAATGAAAGAGTCTGCCAAAGTGGCAACTACCATGAGTTCAAACCTGGCCAAATCAATTTCAACAGCAGTTGAGAATCTTGCAACCTCTCCAGTGATTCCAATGAAGTTCAGTCAATACAACTCCCCTCCTGGCCAATCAAGTAGGAAATCTACTGACGATGGACTGCCAGACCACTCAATACCGGGAGTATTCTCACCACATGTGTCTCCTAGTGCAGGGATCCTTAAACATCAACCTGGATCAAGTAACTCTCCTTCACCAAAAGTAAGTAATGTATTAATCATACGCATTGTCTTCAGATCTTTGCTTTTGACTGAGCAGCACTTGAGTTGCCCATAAAGAATGGGCAATAAACTTGCTCTGAATCAAATTTTGATGTTGGTATTAGGCCAAAAAGAAATGGTTACATTTCCCAAGCCCAAGTGACAATTGAAAATTGGTCAAGAACATACTTATGTATATTTTTTATTAGGTACTATAGGCCTAGATTTAATTCTTTGTTGTCTGCCTGATGATAGTGAATGGACATAATCCTATATTTCATTATTAATTCAATAATAACCTCATGTTTTTATAATGGCAGACCAGACGAGTAAGTTTTGCTGAACCGATTGAGCAACTAAACGCTAAATGTTTGTCTCCAACCAGTGACGGAGGTAAAAATGTGAACAGGTGTTTGGAAATGAACCGGCCACAGCTTCCAATGTCACCACTTGTAACAACAACCCCTTCAAAAGTAGTCAATGTCAATTCTAGAGTAAGTTTCAGTTTATCTTATTGGTAGTACATAACAACTTTTACTACTCCTGAGTACACCAATGCCTACATACATTTTGTGTATTATTAGTACAGTAATATTTGGTGATCCGCTACACTAGCGGATCACCTATTGTTATTGTACGGAATCTTTTTTTTCTTATTCTTCTTTCTTTCTCCCATTTTCTGTTCGCACGATATCTCAAAAAAATGCCACGAGTTACGCACAAATCGCTGTCAGCGAACATTTGGCTTGGTCTGGAATAGTCATGGTAAG